AGCTTGTGAGAAGTGGTTTGTAAGGAGCTTTCACATCTTTGGTAAGATACTCATTCTTGTCACATAGGTTTTCATCCTGCCAAAAGCCAACCCAGGTTTAGCAGAGAACTCAGGCTCTGTCTTCCTATTCAGCTTTTCCTTCAGTCTTAAGTGTACTTGGAAAGCTGAGCAAGTCTGTTTAGTTAAGGCTGCTCACTACTCATTTTAGGAGTTAAGAGGATTATTTCATTTGCTTTTCCTCTCAAGCTACAAGTTCCCGACTCTGAAGCACTGTGTAACTGGAGGGGAAGCACTGAATCCTGAAGTGTTTGCAAAGTGGAAAATGCAGACAGGGCTGGATATCCATGAAGGTTATGGCCAGTCCGAAACAGTACGTTTGCATTAATTCTTGTAGAATGCCCATTCAAAGGTAAGAATACCACAGCCACGATGTCTTTGATAAATCAATGGAAAAGGTGAGAATCACTTATACCATTAAAAAAAAAAAAGACTTTGTATAATTATGATTATACAGTTCCAGAATCAGCAAGCTGCATATTCTAATGATTTAGACCCCTGCAAAAACCATGCCAGAGACAGTTCAGGTCAAATAATTGTAGGAGATCCCTTTGTCATCTTTACTTCAAAAAAATCCCTGAAAATATGATTTGCTCCAGCTATCAATTTGGCCTGTCTGAGTTTTTAATGGTAAATATTAAACCAGCTCACATCCCAGACTTCTCTGTAAGTGAACATTAACAAAACTATTAAGAGCCAGATCTCAGGCTTTCTCTCATTTTGCCCTTGAAATGGTCTCAAATTAATTGTCCAAGTATGGAAATAAGATCTGTAATAATAATCTGCTGTCCTGCAAAATAAATGTCAAGTGTTTGCAGGACAATCCACTGGCTCAGACTCAACAAAACAAAGTTCTCACAGGTCTGACTTGAAATGCCTCTCAACCCCTCTCTGATGTTCGCAAAAACCCACAGTGCTTTGGTCCTGATTCAGCCCTTGTCACAACAAAGTCATGGAAAGATGCCTAATGCAAACAATAATAAAATTTACAAGATGGTCCAACAATTTAAAAAAAATTTTTACAAATCAATTCTGCAGGTCGCAATCTGTGCCAATCTGAAAGGAATGAAAATTAAACCTGGCTCTTTGGGAAAAGCTGTTCCCCCTTATGATGTGCAGGTATGAGGCAGTTGTGGGTAGAACAGCAAGGCAGTGCTGTCTGTGTCCCTTCTGTGCCCTGCACTGAGCTGCAGCAGATGTTGCTCTGAGCTGATCAAAGCACTCCTGCTGTGTCTGTCCCTTCTGCAGATCGTAGATGACCATGGGGCTGTTGTGCCTAAAGGAGAAGAGGGCACCATTGCTGTCCGAGTGAAACCCACACGGCCCTTCTGCCTGTTCTCTGAGTACTTGGTGAGCCTGTCCTGCTGTGTCTGTGTCTGCTGAGGGGCTCAGGAGAGACCCAGGGCAAAGGTCTGCCAGGAGCAGAATTCCATGCAGGATCCTCAGAAAGTCTCACTGGGTTACTTCAGGACTTTGAGCCTGATCAGTGTGTGGTGATGCTGAGGTGCAGGACATTCTTAAGGAAACAGTAGACTCAGGCATATTTAAAGATGTTGTCCCCTGCAACTGAACTATCATAATAAATAAGCTTTGGGGGACCTATCTATGTTTTTAATCCATTTGGATATTTGTAGCATCCTCAAACAACAACTTGTAAAATGTAATTGCTCACTAGGGGATAAGAAATTTCTACAAGTTCAATACTATAGCTTCTGGTTTTCACTCTGTCTTCTGTTGTGAAAGTGCTTTCCTGTGTAACCAAGAGGTTACACTGGATGTAGAGGTCTAGGTCAATGCAAATAATGAAGCTTTTCCTGCAGGTGACCTCATCTGAGTTTTGGTCCTATCAGTAAGGGTAAAAAATTTCTTTTGACAGGAGGTTATTGTGGCAAACACCTGCAATGATAAATCATTTCCCTGAACAAAGTGGGTTACACATTTTTGTGGGTTACACATTTGCTGTGATGGATAGGCATTTTGATAGAGCACAACTTTTTCTATCTAGAACAGAAATCTCTACATACATTCTTTGTGTGTAGAGCTCTTTTCCACCTGTCACATACTTCAGGCATCAAACTGCTAATTAACATGGCTCTTTAGTTGAAAATATGAAACAGTATTGAACACCCTCATTTTGAGAACAACTAAAAAAATTATTTTTGTCATTTTTTTGCATCACTGCTAAGGAAATGCAAATAATAATAATAATAATAATCAGATACCTTTTCTGAAATGTTTGATTGTTGCCAGGATAATCCAGAGAAAACTGCTGCCACTATATGTGGAGATTTTTATCTCACTGGGGACAGAGGCGTTATGGATGAAGAGGGATATATCTGGTTTGTTGGAAGAGCTGATGATATCATTAACTCTGCTGGGTAAGGCATTTCCTTTTAGATCTGCCTCATGAAATGCAGCCTGGAAAGCCCAAAGGACTGGTCCTTGCTGCTGGCTGAGGTGTCTTTGTGCTCCCCAGGTATCGCATTGGCCCCTTTGAAGTGGAGAGTGCATTGATAGAGCACCCAGCAGTCGCAGAGGTGGCTGTTGTCAGCAGTCCCGACCCAGAGCGAGGGGAGGTAAAACAAACTAGGAAAAAAATGTAAAAGAGATACCCTTTCTACTAAGTATCAACTTCCTTGTATGTACTAGGCTTCCTTGGGATTCAATATGTTACATATTTTTGAAATTAGACAGGCTAAATTTTTTTTAAATCCATATCTTAGTGGATCTTACAATATCAGAATTATTTCTTTGTTTGCAGGTTTTTACTTGGAAAATAGTTTAGCTTTTCAGACTGATACAGAAATTTTTGTCTAAGCAATGACATTTTTATTATTTATTGTTTTGTCACTTAGTGCACTGTAGTTATGACATCCAGCGTGTTTAATATTTGGTTTATATTTTCTACATTTGCAACATTTCTTTGAGCAACAGAGTCAAGATTTTCAGCTTTATTAGTATATAATGTTAGGGGGGAAAAAGCTGGAAATATAGAAAAAATCCTCTGATCCAGAATGGGTCCTTGATAGCCAGCATTCCCTAATAAACAGCTAATGAAAAGGGAAATTAAAGAAAAAGATCAAATTTTGGCATTCTGAATTTTGACACTAGCTTTTCACAACAGAAGTGAAAAGTCTTTATTGCCAGCTCCGGAAGTTAATTGAACCCCTTCATTTTTGTGGCACAGGTGGTCAAAGCCTTCATTGTTTTAGCTCCTGCTTTTGTATCACATGATCCAAAAAAATTAACTCTTGAACTTCAACAACATGTCAAGAAGGTGACTGCACCATACAAGTATCCAAGGAAGGTAAGCACAGCCAAAAAAACCCAAGGAAGGTAAGCAAACCCAAAAAAACAGGCTCTCTCATTGTACCAGAAATTGTGCATTTTTTCTCCTGCCTCAGCTCTTTTTCAACAGCCTTCTGAAAACACTCCAACCAGAATTAGATAAAATAAAAGCAGATGCCAGAGTCTGTTGCAGCTGTAGCCTTGGGTTGGCTGTGTGTGCTAGAATGGACGTGGGGGGAGGCAATGGTCATGAGATTTTAGTTCATGAGGGCTCAGTCTTTCTTTCATGGAGTACTGGGCTTTTCACAGCAGCTCAAATGGGCAAGGCATTCAGTCAGCATTTCTTCATCCCAGCCCTGCCTCTGCAGCTTCCCATCCTTTTATCCCCAACCATAATGAAAGTGTGTCTTTCCTTCAGAAAGAAATTCCTTCCTGGGAATTTAAACAGGATGTATTTTTGCCTTTCAGATGGAGTTCGTTCAGGATCTGCCAAAGACGGTTACTGGGAAAATCCAGAGAAATGTTCTAAGGAGCAAAGAGTGGGCAAAAGTAAAAAAATAGTAAGAGTGATCTGGAAAACAAGGAGAGAAATATTCTATTACCTGTGCCAACCATAACTCATCAAACATGGCACATGTTTATGATCCAGGACACATGGAAACATTGCTAAAAACAAACTGTGGAAGCAAAAGTAGAAAACACTCAGAAAAAGTGTAACTACAACTCTTAGATACATACAAATAAAAGAGAAATTAATAAAAGTAATCTTTGTCCTGTGGTATCAGCAGCACATTGATATATACTTGTCAATAACTACCACTGCAACAGTCTAAAATTCTTTCAGAGTGGAAAGAAAAAAAAATTTCTTCTTAATGCTTCTCTTCATCATGATGAATTTGTGATGTACTTAAATGGTTAAAGTTGAGGCGAAAGAAGACCAAAAATGCTTTAGGTTAAGGTGCAAATTACACACAATTAACAATGGTGTAAATGATTACGAGAAAAAAGTTACTCCACAGAAAGAGTGCTCGGCTGCTTGGTCTGTTTTGTGCCACATTCTCTTCTCATTACTCCAGAAGAGGTAAGCAATAAAGTCAGAAGGGTTTCACTGCAAAACCTTTATGAAGGAGTTTCCAGGTTTCACATCTCCAGGGAACAGCTGATCCTTACAGTGCCTCTTCTGGGAAACATGTCCTAACAGGTGAGTGAATGAATGAAGAGGATCTCCCCCAGCAGTTCCTGATCTCTCCTGTCCACAGCAGACAGAAAAATGTGTAGAAAAGTTTCTATCAAACTCGGGCTACATAACAAAGTGAAGGTTCTTGGAACTGATGTGGGGAATAGATGGGTCAGTCAGCAACTGCTGAGGCTACAGCAGTGAGATTCTTGATGGAACTAGTTTGGAAACAAGCAGAAAAGAAAAAGGAATAGAGAATCAGATACTGAATGTCTGAAGCAGAAACATTGTTCTAAAGTAAAGAATAACATCTGATGTTGTGTTTTACTATGGAGAGTTGTGGGCAATTAATTTAAAAATTAAAAATATGAGAAAGCAGGATAGGGAACTTAACATTTAATTAGTATTAAAATCATCAGTCTGGCTCTGACTAGCCAAGTGACTTTAATGAAGAACTCATTGACTCATAACTGAATTATCTTTGGATAATCTCAATATTATTTTTCTTTTTTTTTTGTTGGTTTGGTTTTTGTTTGTTTGTTGTTGCAGGATTCACAGCAACAATTCTGCAATTTTCTTATATAGTGTACAGCATCTAGACACAGTCTTCTGCCATGAAGCTGCTGTTGAAGTTACAGAAACTAAAGCTCTTGTGGACTCTGAAACCTCCTAATAGGACTTTCCATGGACATCCCAGGCTGCTTTCTTCTGATGTATATTCCCAGTATGAGTCCATCAGACAGGGCAAACAGGAAATACCACAGTACTTTAACTTTGCAAATGATGTACTGGACAAATGGTCTGAGATTGAAAAGGTAGGGGATCTTCTGTTGTGCCAATGAACTACTTTAATTTTAAATTTCATTTGGAATAAGCTGGGTTTTTTTCTTTACAAAAACAATCAGTTGTCAAAACCAAATTTGCATTAGGGAATTATAAAAAAGTTCATTCTTTCTTGCTTTATGTATTGTTATTTTGTAGGAGCATTAATGCACAGTAAAAGGCTTAAACTGAAATAGGATCCAGATTAGGACTTGGGTCTGGAGATAATTAGGCTGGTAAACATTTCAGGTCCAGAAAAGGAGAATCTATTGGGAATAACAGGGCTTGATGAATAGTAAATCTTGATCCTTTAAGGACAAGAAAAAAAATAGCTGATATGCTAACTGTCAAATTCTCAGATCTTCCATAATTTACAGATGTCTGTGCATTATTATTTCATGGTCTTTCAGAAGAAAATCTTTTATGTTTAAATTCCTATGTTTTGTAGGCTGGAAAGAGACCATCAAACCCTGCTTTCTGGTGGATAAATGGAGAAGGAGAAGAAGTGAAGTGGAGCTTTGAGGAGCTGGGGTTCCTGTCTCGGAAAGTGGCCAATGTACTGACTAAAGAATGTGGACTGCAGAAGGGAGACAGGCTTATCCTGATCCTACCACGAATTCCAGAATGGTGGCTGGTCAAGGTGGCTTGTATGCGAGCAGGTCAGTGAGGTCAAATGGTCACTGCAAATCAGTTGAGAGGAGCAAGAATGGATATGGTTTATCGTGGAAAAATAGTGTAATAATCTGTGAGTGGACTGGCTGCCAGGCAGTCCTGAAGGGTTTTCACTAGGGGCCATAGGAAATGTAGCTCATGCAATGGGCAAGAAGATGCCAGAAGGCATGGAGGGGCCATGGAAGTCACCAGGCAGGTCCACATTTCATTCCTGACAGGAGAGCACAGGCGTCTGCATTAATCTAATCTAACTGTTTGGCTGGGGAACACCAGGGCAAATCCATATCAGAGAACAGTTTGGAAATATTTAGTAGTTTAGGTTCTTAGAAAAGAATCAGACATAGAAAAAATGCCAACACAAACTAACTTTATCTCTCTTCCAGGAATTGTCATAATCCCAGGAACATCCCAATTATCAGCCAAAGATATACTGTACCGACTCCAGGCATCAAAGGCTACGTGCATCATTACCACTGACAGACTGGCTCCTGCAGTGGACTCGGTGGCATCCCAGTGCCAGCACCTGAAAACCAAGCTAATGGTGTCCAAAGGCAGCAGGGAGGGATGGCTGAACTTTACTGAGCTGTACCAGTGAGTATGACTGAGTGCCACTGCAGTCATGAGGACAAAGCAGAACCCGTTCCCACAAGCACTCATTTATATCATTTACAACCACTGAAGTTGTAATGACATTCTCCTTTTTACAGAAACCAATCTGCTGACCATTCCTGCATCAAAACAAGGATTCAAGACCCAATGATTATCTTCTTTACGAGTGGAACTACAGGTTCTCCAAAGATGACTCAACATTCCCAGGGTAGTCTTGGTTTCAGACCCCTTTTAAGTGAAAGGTATGAAAGAGTTAAGCCTGGTTGAACATAAGGTAATTGAAGCTACATAGTAGAGCTATTGTAAAAAAATTACTGAATAAGAAATACCAGTGTACCTCCCCAGCCTTTCTCCCTTTGAAATCAGAGTAAAAACCCCATCAAATTGCTAGGTACTACGATCACCCCAGAGTCTTCTCCCGGTTAATATCTCTTACCCTCTTTCTGGGTATATTTCATAATCCCCTTTTTTTTTTTTTCCACTGTCAGGTACTGGTTGCATTTGACTCCCTCTAACATGATATGGAACACTGCAGACACAGGATGGATACTAACTTCAATAGCATCTTTTTTTGATCCTTGGGTTTTCGGATCGTGCGTCTTTATACATAACCTACCACAGACTGACTCAGAAGTTATCCTAAACGTAAGGGAAAAACTCATGGAAATGTAATCATCTGCAGAAAGCATGCCAAAACCAATTCTTGACAGCATCCACAGATTTCTTGGAGGTTGTGTTTATAGCAGTTTGAGATATTGTATTTGTTGTGTAAAGCCCTACTTTCATTTTTAATGTATACTGAAGGGAACAGACATGCAATCCATTCATACATTTTGCTTATAGCTGGTGAGCATGTGAATAAAAATCATCCAAAAGCAGCATTAAATGCCTGCCATTCATTCTAGTGACTATGGAAATAGTATCAGTGGGTATTAATGCAGAAATGAAGAGTTTCTGTGCCCACACCAACCAAGATGAAAATGAACACCTCCCTGTGATGTAGACAGAGGAGGAACTATTCTGGCCATGCCATAAACTGTGGGGTCCTGGTGTCAGGTAGATGTGTTAGCATGGGATTTTTGTAATCAAATCTACAGTCTCTGCATATTGCACCAACTGCAGGAGGGTTCCTCACCCAACAGAGGTGTGGTGCTTTTACATAGGGGGCAAATGTACTTCTCCTGTCTGTGTCACCTGTTTACTGTACATTCCAAAGGCAGTTTTTTGTCTGAGTTTCACATGTTCTTCTTGTTTAACCCTCTAGACTCTCTGCAGATTCCCAATTGATGCCCTAGTCGGTGCTCCAACATTGTTCCGCATGCTGGTGCAAAATGAGCTGTCCAAGTACGTAAAAAAAATATTTAGTAATGTTTAATTTACCCTAACTGAACTTAGTCATCTCCTATATTTAACTGCTCGACCCAAAATAGGGTAATAATTTGGTTTAAAATATTCTTTGTGAGAAGACCAGCATGAAAAATTTGAGTTTTGCTGAGGTTTTTGATAGAGAAACTTGATGTTTTCGGTCAGAAATGTCAGACTTATGCTACTTGTGAGTATGAAACTGAGAGTCTGTTAAATACTTTGTCATAATTTTTGTCTACCACATTAATTGTCCAGACTTTGGGAAAGACTTCATCCTAGAAAGTGCGCATCAGCATAACTGTGAGGAAATTATTTGTTGTGGCAATTGTACCTCCTCCCTATTCCAGTTCTCACTGCCTGTCATTGTTCCTTCCTTCCCTCTTGAACTTTCTCGCTTGGCCTGTTGCAGAGGGTCAGCAATCAGGGCCCTGGCTCAGCAGATAAGTATTTGGTTATTTATAATCCCAGCTGACTTCAGCAAAAATTTTATTTTTCACATGTTGAACTCTTACTGCTACTTATGTAGAGTGTTGAGCACAGTGATATCCTTGTTGTGTCCGGAGCAGAAGGATCAGGGCCCCTCTGATTTCCCCATTTCGTGGCACTAACTCTCCCAGTAAACAGCTCTCCCATGGTGTTCATCTTTGTGTGCTCCCTCTAGATTTAAGTATTGCCTTTCTTGTTTTTAACTCCCTGTGAAGATACAAATTCAGGAGCCTGAAGTACTGCATGAGTGGAGGGGAACCACTCAACCCAGAAGTCATGGAGCAGTGGAAGAACCAGACTGGGCTGGACATCCAGGAAGTATATGGCCAGACTGAATTGGTACATCTGTAGGGACAATAGCCTATTATATCCCTGGAATTTCTTTTTGCTGTAAGGTTTGTTTTGTAAGAACACAGTCTGTTTCCTCCACATTTCTGAGAATGTTTCAGTAATTCCCTTCCCTGGTAACCTCTGAAATAACTCCCTCTCATGGCTCTCCTCAGAAGAACAGAACCTGCCAGAAACATGAGGGTTTGGGAGGGAATGTGCTGTAATATTTCCACAAGTGTCCTTAAGCTAATTCCAAGTAACAGGGTCAGTCAAGAGGGCAGAGTTGGAATCTAAGGGAAGAAGACTGGTTAGCAGAGGACAGGAATTTTTCACAGAGAATGGAACAGGATTCTTTCAGGGAGTTTTATGATTTTGCTTATCCCTACCATACAGCACTGATATACAGGATCCTATGAATCTTAATTCCTTACTTTAGAATTAGTCTAGAAACTAGATTTAATGAATTAAGTGTGAATGTAGAAATTTTCTTTTGAAAAGCTTTGGTTTGATTTTGATTTTTTACAGGGAGTAATCTGCTCTGTTTTTAAAGGAATGAAGATTAAACCTGGATCAATGGGGAAAGCAGCTCCCCTTTATGATGTTCAGGTTCGTTGACTGCTCTTTAGATTCTGTCATGGGGGATTTTTTTGTTTGGTTGGATTTGTGTTTGGAGTTTGTTTTTGCATTGGACTAAAATAAGAACTGTTTTTCATCCTAGATCATAGACAAAAATGCCAATATTCTGCCTCCAGGACAACAGGGGGAAATTGCTGTCAGAAGCAAACCTATAAGGCCACTTGGTTTTTTCTCTGAATATTTAGTAAGAACTTTATTTTATTCCTCGTCACCACTACCAATCTCCCCAAAAGCTCTCCAATTGCATAATGGTCCTAAAGACTGGACATTTTTCACAATTTTATTATTTATTACCAGAGTAATTTGTTTATTTGAATTGGAGGGTGTTAAAAAAGGAAAGAAAATAATTTAGGATCAAGTCAAATTTTTTCTTAAAAAATAAAAATTATTTAAAACCTCTTTTATTGTATCTTATAGCAATATCAGTACATCCTTGACTGAAAAATTAAGTTCCAGTGCATTTGATATTATGTGTGTTATAACATAATGAAAAGCTAATACATGCTCAAAATCTAAACTACTGCTTGTAAACCACTTTAAGGATAACCCTAAGAAAACTGCAGAAAGTGAACGTGGGGATTTTTACGTCACTGGAGACAGAGGGACTATGGATGAAGAGGGATATTTCCAGTTTATTGGCAGAGACGATGACATCATAATTTCTTCAGGGTTAGTCTGCACACACCCATTCCAAACCTGCCATTGTATGTTGTCACATCTTGTGTTGTATATTCTTACATGTGAGCTTCTGGAATCATAATCCTGCAACAGGAATGAATTGACCTCTTGATTTTGGAATCCTTGCTGTTATTATTAGCTTTTCACAGACCTGCAGTATCATCTCTGTGATGATACTGGACCCTTTTCCCCTGCAACATCTTGTGTGTTTCAGCAAAGAATGAAGACTTCAATTGGCAAAGGAGGGATGTTTATCTGGTTTATTATTTTACTAAAATTGAAGGAACATCTATTGGATTCAAACAGCTTTTGAAACAATTTTTAACATGTTGAAAGGAAAGAACTTGATATTGTACGATGTGACTCCATAACCTGGCACAGGCTGCTGCTGCAGACCCCAGCTACAGGGTGGGATGGAGCTCCAGCCTAAGAGCCCCAAGGAGAGAGGACAGATGGAGAAGTATTCACAACCCCAGCAATCCTCTGCCTCAAAGACCACCATGAAATGCTCCTACTTTTAACCCAGCCAACTGTCCCATTTTGCCTAAAACTTTTATAGCTGGTTATTGATTTGTTCTGGCTTTGGTTTTTTTCTTCAACATGAAAATTTACAAACTTTTGGTACTGTTTTTTCCAGACAAAAAACAAGAGCCAAACATAATTTTTATTTTTCCTTACCTAGGTATCGCATTGGGCCTTTTGAAGTAGAGAGTGCCCTGATAGAGCACCCAGCTGTGGTAGAAACAGCTGTTGTCAGCAGCCCAGACCCCCTCAGAGGAGAGGTAAAGGTGCTGAATGGAGGGGGAAAGGCAATGCATTTGTCCAAATACATAATGATATCAAGGAATTTCTACTTTATTGAAAAACTGACAGCTCTAAGGCAATGTCATCTTAGAATCATGGAATTGTTTAGGTTGGAAAATACCTCTGAGATCATTGAGTCCAGCTATGAACCCAGCATTATCAGGTCTACAAATACACCATGTCCCTAAGCACCACATCTACTTCCATCATGGATAATCCTAGTGGGGCTGACAAGCAAATCCCTTCCCATTTACATGCCTTTGCTCTTCTGAGTTTCTTTTCATCCCAAGGTCTTCTCAGTGGAGAACAATACTGTGATGTTTACTTTGCCCTTATTTTTTAGCATTTGTCTGTACACTTAAATTTATGACCTTTGGTGCTGTCAAAGTTCTACTGCACTTGCCCAAGAATTAGACATGGGCTGCAAGTGTGGTAAATGCACAGTCCTCTGCCAGGATAACACAGGATTACTGTTCTCAGTGTGAACTTCAGAAAGAAATAAAATGTCCCTTGCCCTCAGAGAGAACTCCACAGAGACACATTTTATTGCCCCTTCTTCTCGGCTGCTGCTGAGAAGAAGGGGAAAAGGCTCTTATTTGTAATGAGGGCACACAAACTGTCCTTTAAACTTTCCCTTCTGCACATACACATGCAGAAGCTGGGCACAATCATTTCTTATCCTGTGCTGGTTTCTCTGTTCCTTATGACTCTTGTGACTCTGAGCAGCACTGCTCACTGGTAACTGCACATCAGCCCTTAAAAAACAGATTGTATCAGTCACTTTTATTAATTTTACCTTGCAGGTTGTGAAAGCATTTGTGGTTCTATCCCCAACATTTTCATCCACTGACCTGAAGAGCTTAATTCGTGACTTGCAGGACCATGTCAAGAAAACTACTGCTCCATATAAATACCCTAGAAAGGTAAATATTTCTGAGGAGAAACTTTAAAACAGGGCACCCTTTCCTAAATCTCAGGAGAATTACCATTTAGATTTTCATGATTCACTTGAAAGAGACAGCAGTAAAGATTCATCTAGACCACTGGCTCCAGAAGATCTGTCCTAAATAACATTAGTTTAGATTGTTTTTCATGAATTTGTGTAAACTACTTGTTCAAACTTCTCGAAATTGTCTAGGTTTTGTATATCCCAGTTAGATCTCCATGTTCTAAGTCATACTCACAATCATAATTCTCCATTTTGTGTTTGACCTTCAAACAAGCACTTGCCCATGCCTTTAAGGTAGCATATGACTGAATCTAAAGAAGTTTTTGTCTATTGGTCATTACAACTAATAAACAGACACAAGCCCAAGAGGATTCACTTGGTGTTTCATAGTAACCCAAGCACCACAGGAAAAGAGCTACTGCAGTGCCTTAGCCAACTTGAGCAGAACTCGCAGCACTAAGAACCATTAAAGACTTTGGGGCTGTAACATCCTTTTCTTTCTCTTTTTGTCATTCATCTCTCACCTCTGATACCATTCAGGCATTCATTGCCCTTCTGCTGTGAGTTACTGTACTCAGTTTGGTCAGCTGAGAGGCAGCTGTGCAGATGTTTGGCCATCTAGGCAGCCACAGGGATGGTCTCACACGTGGCACAATGTGCTCTCTGGTTTGGCTTGGATTTGAGGCAAGCAGCTCTTACTGATGGGAACCCTCTCAGTTTTCCACATATGCTTGGAGAGTCTTGGAAAACCAACTCTGTAGAACGTGCTGTATTGCTTTCTCTCTTTATTTTATCTAGATGGAATTTGTCAAAGAGCTGCCAAAGACAGTGACTGGGAAGATCAAGAGGAATGAATTAAGAGACAAAGAGTGGGGACGGATATAGCATTGTTTGGAATTTAACAGAACTTCTTCCATTCCATTAGCACTATACATTTCACTACTATAACTGCCATCATTCTGATTTCTTTATGTTAAGTGTCTGAGCATCAAAAAACTACAGGTAACATCAAGATGTGATATTTGTGCCTGATTGCAGAGTTTCCAATGTCAATACCTGACTGAATTTGAATTGTATTATTCTGGGTTAAAAATAAAATTTTCAATAGACAACTTTCCCTTTGAGACCTCCTCACCATCCCTCTTGCAGCCCAGCTTCCATTTGGTGTTATTCTTGAGAGACAATAAAAAAATATGATGCCCACATTTGAAAAGGTACTTTATGTCATATATATTTTGATTCACTATTTCCTGAGAGTTTACCCTGACATCCAAAGTTTATGGAAAGGACATGGAGACTGGTGTGGTCACTATATGGGTCCCAAAAATGCAACATTATGAAGAAGTTGGAAAAGAAAATATTTTTTGGTGCCACTGGACAGTGGCAGTAAAAGTCCTAAAAATGCATTGTTACAGATGGGGGATTAGCAGTTTTATTAGATAGGTTCAAAATCCACATTTTTGGTGGTAGGATGAGAACCATGTGTAGGTATCCTTTCTTTTGAAAGTGTCTTATCTCTTCCAAACACTAGCCAAACATTGAGTGGAATTCTCAATGCAAGGCTGGAAGTATTCTGAAATAGATATGAACCTAAGATCCCATCTTTTGCTTTAAAAACCTCTCTGAGGTAAATGAAATTGGAATTGACATTATGTTCAGTATGTGAGAAATAATCCTTTAATAAATGATGCTGTTATGCATAATGAGAAATTAGTAAGCTGTACACATTCACAGTATGTGCTTAATGTTGCACATATACATATATACGGTGTGTATAAATATATGTTTTTTTGTATGCATTTGGCACATAAAATTGCTATGCTTGCATTAGTAAGAAAGTTAATATTTAGTTTTATGTCTTGAAATGCTTACTACATTTCCAGAATGGGTTTGGAACTTGATCCTTCAGATTTTGTGGATTGTGATTTTTGTGACTGCATGAGTTATTTTAGCCAGTCCATTGACCAGGAGCATTTTATAAGTGATCTACAACTTCATCTCCTTTCCCACAATACCAAAAGTTGGAATTAAGCTTTAATGAAAAACAGAACAGCCTTTAGATGAGTTTGGGTTTAGTTATTCAAAAGGACTTCAGATTATTGGTATAAAACCAACTCCTCTGCTAATACTTGATCTAAGTCTAAATAGTCATCCTGTAAGAATAAAAAATGAACACAATTTATAAATAAAATGTACGTAAGCTTATCTGTTTGAAAAGGGTTTGTTATTGAAAAGATCAGGGTAGGATCTAAAAGATCAGAGAAGGGGTCATTCCCCATGTTTGGCCATCACACTCAAGTGTTAAAGATTCAGAACTCACCATCACAGTCTGAGCTTCCATCAGCTGTGGCAGAGCAACAGAGCTCATCATCTGCTAATTTGTTAATGGGTTCCTTGACAGTCCTTAAAATCCAAAATAAAGTTGTCTTCAAACACAATCTCACAGGCTTCTAGTGAGTGTAAAAAATTAAATCCTCCATGGGAGCAAGTAGTTTGTTTAATGTGATTCTACCAGAAGAAAAGTGAACAAAATAAGGTTGTGCTCAAACCTGGCTGTGGTTTTAAACTTCCCTTCCCTTTTCCTGTATTACAGCTTTGTTCTGAGAGACTAATTTTTCTCTCCTTCAGTCAGTCAGAACAGAAGGAAAACATGTTTTATATTTTAAATGTAATGTTGTATTTTAAATGTAATCCATTTTTGTACAGAATAATAAGAAATTGGATTAGATCTTTAAGTGCAATCGAAAAAAGATTGAAAATGTGATCTGCTCACAATTTCAGCATCTGATTCTATTTAAGGGCATTCAGATTTCATATGTGAGTACTTTTTGGAAAACTAATCCACTTTGAAATGATCAGATTTTTAATGTAATACATTTATTCCATGTAAGTAATAAAATTTTTAATATAATCTAATTATGAACTTTGAAAGTAATTGATTGTAAAGCAAATTTTAATCCTACAACGTGTTTCTAGGTTTTTGGTATTGGTCTCTGCTGGGCTTTAAACAGACCTGGCTAGACTTTTCCCTTAGCCCTGGTGGTGGCACAATTTGTTCATTCCAGCAGGGAAGGGCTTGTTCAGGAGCTTTCCTCTCTGCTGCAGCACAGCCTGCTCAGTCTGCACATGGGGTCAGACAGACTTTCCAATGTGTTCTTGCAGTTTTGCAATGATAACCTGAACCTGACTAGGAAAAAAGGAAGAAACAAACTGATGAATCAAAACATTTCAGTTTGATGTGTGGGCAGGAGCCTTTGCTCTGTCACACTGCCCAGGGTTCCAAGCAAACACACAAAGCCCCTCAGTGCTACCAAGGTTGTGCTCAGCTTCAGGGCTGTGTGATTGTCCTGCACTACTGACTTGAGGAGTTACTGAGTCAACCAATTGATATTCCTTGCTTCTCTAAAACAGAACTCACTTTTTTTGTTGGGCGCTCGGAGCGATGTGCTGGCTGCCAGCTAAATCCTAAAAAGAGCCTGAAACTTTTAAATTTGCAGGCTTGCCACAGAAAAGGAGAACAGTTTGTAATGAAAGTTGTGTTGTTTTTTCTCTGTCCAGACGAGTTGGCGTTTGTTCCATAACTACCACAGATGATCTCTGGGAACATTCAGGGGAAGAAACTGAGAAACACAGAGTGGTGCTCTTTGCTGCTGAGCTCCTCACCAGAACATGCTCATCCTGGACTTTTGTGTATTCCATTTTGTGTATTCCATTTTGTGTATTCCATCCTGTTTCCTTCAGTCTTAAGAGAACAGCCTTCTGAATAAGGGTGGAAGAGCATTGCTGTTCTGCTGCTCTGAAATATTTCTAAAGCAATATATTCTCTATAACTTTAAATACATGGGAGAAAATGTTTTTGAAAATAGTGATAGAAGAGGGAAAAATGGACTAGTCCTTATTTTTTGTATCTGCAGTGCTTTGACTGAAAGCCACAATATATGTAACTCTGTGCCAAATACTATTTTGTGAGAATGTTTTTTAACATTGTTGGTGATCAGACTTCCAGATCTAGCCAGTACTGGGTTACACAGAGTTTCAGGATTAAATATAATCAAGGATTTCCTGGGCTCACAGTTCAAACTGTGAGATATTTCCGTAACAGTCAAGCCAACAGTCAATGGGAACAGCAGAGGTTTAGATCAGCCCTGCTAGGTCACATCTCACATTTCTTGTTACCTCTCTGTAACCCGTGCACTTCACACCATGCTGCTACAGCACCTGATTCAGAAGATATAAGCAGTAGCTGAACTCCATGGCAAAGGCTGTATTGAGCATAAAAACACCGATGAACCAGAAAAACAAAACAAAACAAAAAACCCAACAACCCCAACCAACAACCAAACAACAAAGCCCAAGGTTATTTATCTCACATTTTCCTGGTTCTGCTGTAAACCCACTATGCACTACCCATAAAGGTATCTGCTGGCAGCAGGAGCCTGGGCAAACAGCAAATGTGCTGTGTAGTTAAAACTGTTCACAAGACCTTCCAGGACAACTCATTGTTATCAACTGGCTGATAAACACAGGTCCCAGGCTTGTGCCAGGAGGGTTCTGCAGGTGGATCTCAGCTCCTTCACACCCTCAAGCTCTGAAATGGATACTCCTTTGCTTTCCAGCCACAAAGCTCATTATTATCTGAGGTCAAAAACAGAAAACAAATGCACAAAATGCTGTGTCCATTACATTAATCTTAATGGCTCTGAGCATGCACTACTGAAACCCGAGGACAGTTGAGACTTTTATTTCTTTAGGAGCAGAAATGGAAAAGGAGATGAAAATAAATGGAGCTCGAATCTCCACTTCTTTAGAAGCAGAAATGGAAAAGATGAAAATAAATGGAGCTCGAATCTCCATTCGAGAGTGGTGGCAGCTGAGCATGGTTTGTATTCAAAAAGGTGAATTGTGTAATTCTTAGTGGTCTGTAGATTGTTTATTACCTTCTATGCCAGAAGTTAATTAATTTAACAATTATATTTCTTATTTGACTTCCTTACTTGAACATTTGACAATCAAAGGGGGGAGTGAATGGAAAAGATGAAAATAAATGGAGCTCGAATCTCAGGGTGGTGGCAGCTGAGCATGGTTTATATTCAAAAAGGTGAACTGTGTAATTCCTAGTGGTCTGTAGATTGTTTATTACCTTCTATGCCAGAAGTTAATTAATTTAACAATTATATTTCTTATTTGACTTCCTTACTTGAACATTTGACAATCAAAGGGGGGAGTGAAGTGGTCTCTAACAACTGTCATTGCCTTCATCATTGTAATTACTTTCATCATTTTTCTTTCACTTTCTGTGGCTTGGATTAAATCAGTTTAACTGTGACAGACTCAAAGCTGCCAGTGTTTTCTGCCTTAAAGTTATGCACCCTACTTTTACTGTGCCTGCAGCAAAGGAGCTATTTTGTACTTCAAGTCTGCACATCTCTATTCAAGTTCAGATGTGTGAGACTTATTTTACCACCTTCTCGTTTCTGGACTGAATGGTGCTGGTAGTCAACAAATCAGGAAAAGCTGTGAAGTGATCAGGACTGAAAGGGAAAAATACTTAAAACATTTCCAATTTTATTTTACTTTCAGGTGTTATCATCATCCCAGGGACAACACAACTGACAGTACCTGACATCTGCCATGGATTGCTGGCTTCCAAGGCCAGGTGTGTTATTACAATCCATGCTCTTGCTCCTGTGGTGGACTCAGTTGCATCCAAGTGCCAGTCTCTGAAAACAAAGCTGATTGTGTCTGAAAGCAGCAGGGCTGAGTGGCTGAACTTCAGCCATTTGCTCAAGTAAGTGCCTTCTACCTAAACCCTGTTAAAGTTATCTCCAGTGGAAATTTCCTCATGTTTGAACACCCTTGTACACCTGTATCTCATTAATGAATGAGATACCTCTAAGGGGGTAGAAGAAGAGGCAATTTAGTCTCTTTTTTATATACAGAAGCAATATTAAGGAATAGCCAAACTTAATTATAAAATAAGTAGCCTTATGATGTCTAGATTTGTTATATAAGACTATAAAACACAGAAAAGTGGGCAGGAATGACCTCTATTGACAGCTGTGGCATATTTACTCTCTAAAAGACAAATATTCTATGCAAATTATTCCATATTCCTTAAACTTGATGATAATGATGAACAGCTTTTCACTATAAAAGGCTAAAAAGGATACTGTAAAATGAATTTAATGTCTTTAGGAATCCTCTAGACAGATCACTGCCAGCCTACCTATCTGGCAGGATAACTGCCCTGACCTCCCTGCTGCCCATGGCCTGGGCTGCCTCAGCTGAGTGCTGAGCTGGCCAGGAGGCTCTGGGAATTTGGAGGGGGAGCTCCTGGGCAGCAGCAGGCAGCAGCCAGCCCCAGGACACGGCTGGGCTGGGGAGGCAGACTGCCCACACACAGCCTTGCAGGAGCGGGCAGTGCTGCGCGCCAAGCCAACAAACAGCAGCCCTGGCAGAGCATTTTTCATCTGTTTTTGTACATGCCACGCCACAGTTTGATCCAAGGTAAGTCTTAAATGTAAGAACACCATTCCCACAATGAACAGTTACTCGTATTTCATGTTGTTTTCCAGGCAGGCCACAAAACTAAGCCTGTTAGGTTTACAGGATTAGCTGTTTTAAGATGGCATAACCACAGGGTGATTGCTCTTTGAATAGGAATATAATACAGGAAGGATTTTGCAGCATGGTTCTTTTGGTCACAGGATATTACCAGCTGCTTCCAATCAGTGGGAGTTACTGGTGTTACTTAAAGCTCTCCCCTACTGTATTTCAGTACTGAAATGATAAATGAACTGAGTTACATGTAAATTCATGTTTTTATTACACAGCTGTGACCCTCAAGAAAGGCAAGTCAGCACTGGAAAACACTGAGGCTGTGAAAGTGGCTTGTTCTTAAAAGAAATTATCTTCAAGTTTCTCATGCCAATCTGAGTTTTAATCTAGCACAAGGGGGAAAGTGAATCTCAGGGCCAGGGTTTCATACCAAGGGATGATCCTTGAGCTTCAAGTCAGCATCAGAACAAATTAAGTACACCACATTCCACCATCAATGTATCACCTCTTCAGCTGATGGTTGGGTACTGTAACATCTTTCCTCAGCACTCACAGTGACAGCATTATTTGGCTTTTCATGTAAAGGAGATCATAATAATGTCTTATGGCTTGTCCATGAAAGTTTGAAGCACCATCTGACCATGGGGGAACCACTGAGCCCAAAAGTGATGGCACAGCAGAAAAGCCAGGGAATTAATGTCTAAACAATGAATGTTCAGTAAGAGCAAACTGTGAAAAATCAGAAGTAAACTGTAAGTAAGTCCTGTAGGCAGACAGGTCAGAGAGAGAGAGAGGAGGAAAGAAAACAAAAAATCCCAGTAATTACCCTGAGTTTTGTTCTTGGAAGTTAAGCAGGCTGTCATGAATCATGATTACCAACATCAGCCAGCAATAAACATTCACAGCTGGCC